CTGTGAAGATGCTTAATCTTAACACCAAGCTAATCTATTACAAAAGAAAAGAACTGTTTTAGATGACAGAAAGTCTCAAATTTATTATGCATCTGATAAATCCAAGTTACATGGGAAAAATCATCAATAATAGTAAGAAGGAACTTATAGCCTTGATGAGTAGGGTCTTTATATGGCCCCTAAACATCAATATGAAGTAATTCAGAGAATGAAGCAGTTTTTATTTGACTGGAAGGAAAAGACAATTGAATTTGTTTAGCTTTAAAGCGAGTACCACAACTGGAAGAATTTAAAGAAGACAAATTGTTCTGCAATGAAACTACATGTTTAAGAGTAGAGTCAGATGGGTGTTATAATCTCAAATGCCAAATATCATCATCAAGAATAGAGTTACTAGTGTGAATATTAGTTAATAAGGGGAGGCTTCCATCTATTAGATAGAGACCAGATTTTATGCTACCAATCATCTTGGTTTTGCCAGTGGAAACATCCTGTAATACACAAGTGTCAAGAAAAAAAAGCAACTATGCATTGTTAATCTTTAGTCAGTTGGGAAATGGATATTAAATCATAACATATTCCAGGTGCATAAAGGATATTATTTAAGACAATATCATCTAAAATCCTAACACTACTAATATGAGTAATGGTTAGTTTGTCAGTATTGAGGATTTTAATTTTAAGAGAAGAGCCACAGTATTCCTGATAATTATCAAAAAATGATAATTTGCTCATAACATGACATGATGCCCCTAAATCTAATAGCCAATATGGTCGTGTGTCAGCTATGGAACATGCAGAAAATAAGCATAAATTCGAACCTGTAAACTCTCTCGAGTCTTTAATGGCCACTCTACCTATTGGAAGAGACTTATTTGAAAGGGTGTGAACTTCTTTCTTAAGATTATCAATGATTCTCTCATAGTTGATTGGCGACAACAATTGATGATTTGATGATGTCTCATGTTGTGGCTTTTATGCAGTATGAAGACTGAGATTTTTGATATGATTTGCTCGATTGGATAAATTGCCTCAACCCCTTCCTTTTTGAAAATTGGGTGGGAACCTGATAATATGAAAACAATTGTCTCTTGTATGGCCTTTTCTATGACAGTAAGAGCATTCATCAGATGGATTAGCTCTACCACGCCCCTTTATATAACGCCTATGGCCTCTGGTGGTTGTAGTAGCTGATTGGTCAGATGATTGAAGAGAGGAAGAAGATATGGATCGTTGAGCTTCTTCTTGTGAGATCATGGAGTATGCTTGGTTGACTAAAGGCAGGGGACTCATAATTAAGATCTGACTTCGAACAAATTGGTAGGAGTCATTCAATCCCATAAGAAACTAAAATAGTTTCTATTATTGAATCCCTTTTGCATACTCTATGAAGGAATGATACTTGCAAGCAGGGAGGGGAACAATCATGGAATATTCTTCCTATAATTCCTTCAACTTGGTGAAATAACTCGAGATTGATAAACCTCCCTGGCTAAGAGTATTATTGAGATGGTGGAGGCTATAAATCTTAGTTCCATCAGTAACGTTAAAATGCTCGTGTAAATAATCCCAGACTTCTTATGCATTATCAAAAAATGTGATGCTGGCCACAATCTCCTTGGAAACTGAGTTGATAAGCCAAGAAAGTACCACTGCATTGCATTAATTGCATTGGGTTCGAAGGATTTCAATTTGAGATTCTCGCTTGCAAGATTCGTCGATTAGTCTGATTTTATTCTTGGCCTTGAAAGCCATCCTCATCGCACTGTGCTAGATTGCATAATTCCTGCTTCTGATGAGCGGTTGAGCTATCAAAGTTGAAGCTTGAGTATTAGATGGATAAAGGTAGAGTGGATGGTTCAAATTGACTACAGAAGCGGAAGGTCGAAGGATATCAATTTCTGCTATGACAGATCTTGGAAGGAGGAAAGTAGGGATTTGCGGTGAGGGTTGAGAAAATTATCAAGAAGGAACTTAGTTGGGACAACGTAGGAGATTAGAGGGAAAAGATCTAAGAAAGATATTAAGGTTCAAGTGAAAATGGCATTAGACATGATGGTGGATGACAAATTGAGAAAGGGAGGGGAGCACGGTGAGTGAAAATCGAAGAAGTGAGAAATAAGAATTGGTAAAGATTAGGGTTATGACTAAAATAAACTGGGTCAGGGATCCGAACCCACTCTGATGCCATGTTGAAAATTATAGAAAGGCAATGGAAAACTTTTATTTATTTTGGATGCCATCTTCAGCTACTTAGCCTCCAAAGTACAACCTAAACCAGCCTTAAATACACATTAAGAAATAAGAAATGAGTGAGTAAAGTGAGTAATACTGATTAGGCTTAGACCAAATTAACAATGACAGCCCAAAACCTAACAATGATAGCTTAAAACCTATTTTATTCTAACTCTCAACATCAGAAGTGACCTCTTTTGAATGATTCACTATTGCTGCCATCACATAATTTAGGGTTAAGGTCCAATATTGCTCATGTACTTATTTTTAGGAGTACTGGGTACTCTATACTTTTAAGTGGAGCAATTTTACCCTTGAACTATTTTTTTAAGGAGCATAAAACTCCCTCTATTAATGAACTATGAATTTTTCCTTTTTTTTTGCTAAAGTAGCATGTGCGGGGCCCATGCATACTGACATATAAGACTTTAACCATATTTTTTGTCTTAATTTGCCCCTAAATTTTTTCTAAGAGCGTTGAACACCTTAAATCTTTTTTTTTAAGAGCGCTGGGCACCTTGAAGTTTTATTGAAATAAAATTTAATAAATATTTTATTACATTATTTAATATTTAATAATTTAAGTATCATTATTTTAAGCATTACATCCCCAATTTAATATTTTAATATTTTTAATATTTTGCAAATTTGTATTAAAAATGAAGGAAATGAACTTCCAATTAAGGAATGAATTTTTTCTTCTTATCTCTCTATTTCTTTTTCTTGTCCTAATTGTCATAATTCAGATTTTACTCCTAACACTGCAACATATAAAGAGTATTAAATTTGGGTAGTGCAATATTTTAGAGAAAAATCGTCAGTTGACCAAAAATTAAGGAATTTAACTAACATAAAAATGTAAGTTTTGACATGCACAAAAGGCATAACAATTTAGGCACTGTCTCAAAAAGAAGATTGAAGATCGATAAATAAAAATAAAAAAATTATTTATAAATTTATAAAATGCTAGTTTGAGTTGTTAATATTTAAAAGGTAATTTTTAAATTTTGAATGAATATTTATAAATAATATTATTTAAATTGTTAAATATGAAAATATATAATATAATATTTTGGTAATATTTATTAAATTTTATTTTAATAAGATTTCAAGGTACCCAGTGCTCCTAGAAAAAGACTTTAGGGTGTTCAGTGCTCTTAAAAAAAAAGAGTTTAAGGGCAAATTAGTAACCAAGGATATAGACAGAGTATTACTTGTCACTGTAGCTAGGCTCCACACACATGCCACGTCAGCATGTAATGACAGAGTTAATGGCTTCCTAATAGAAGGGTGTTTTTGGACTTCAAAAAAATACTTCACGGGGAAAATTGCCCCATTAAAGAGTATAGGGTGCCCATAGCTCCTAAAAAATAAGCACAGGGATAAAATTAAATCTTAACCCTATAATTTATGACTCTATCCACAGGCATATGCATTGTCAACATCATCGTCGTTATTATGAATCATAATTAATATTAGCTAGAGAGAATCAAATGTTAAAATGTGACAAGGAGCTTATTATTTGCATGCAATGACCAATATATTTAGATTGTTGTTAAAATGAAAACGTAAATTTTTTTCCCTCTGAATGGGACTTGTTATTAGTCTTTGTTTATAAATAAGTTTCTTGCCAAATCCTTGGATATAATACTACCTTATTATTATGCAAAGCATGTCCGTTATATCACCCATAATACCAATTTATCCTGGCTAACGGATTCCAAAGTCATTTAAATGACAAGTCATCATATGAATTGTATTTACAGTAAGCCATGAAAAGCACAGCAGAACCTAAATATTTACCAAGTCCAAGATTGTCTTGGGATTACCCGGAAAGTAACTCACTTTTCCCTTGTAGCACCGTTAGTTTTATCATTTCTGTTGGGGCAAGGGATTGAAGATGTGTGAAGGTAATGTATAATTAATAGAGAATCTTATTAGATTTCTTATATTGAGTATAGTTAAGGATAATATACTCCACTAAAATAGCTTAAACTATTTAGTTAAGTATTTTCTAAGCTTATATATTCATAGTCTATCTTTTAATTTTTAAATGTGGGACTTTTTTTTATATTTTAATATTTCCTCTACTGCTTTTTCTCTCTCCTTTTTTCCATTTTCTTCTTCTCCTCCTTGCCCAGGCTTATACTTTTTTTAGTCTTAGAGACCTCAAATGGAGCCTGAGAGAGCTCAAATATATTTAATTTCTTCTTTTTTTTCTTCTCCTTCTCTCTCTCTCTCTTTTTTTTACTCTTGTTATTTTTTTTAATCTTTCATTCTTTGATTTGTTTCATTTTTTTTCTCTCTGTTTTTTTTTGTCCCCAATTGAATGGCTCTAATACCATATTAGATTTCTTATTTTAAGTATGCTTAAGGATAGTATACTCCATCAAAATAGCTTAAGTCATTTGGTTAAATACTTCTTAAGCTTATTTATTCATAGTCTATATATCTTCTAATATTTAGACGTGGGACTTCTTTTAATCCAACCAGGGAAGGGTTCTTTGTAGGTATTGATCACCATGCATAAACACGGCCATCCATAAAGGTGACTTGGACTAAAGGAATCTGATCTTTGAGATGTGACATCCCCCATAGCTTTTGTAAACACGTAAGTGACTTGACCATCCATATAAGTTTGCTGTGTTTTAATTAAATTTGCATTAATTAATCATGTTATTAGGGAAAACATGTACAGTATGGGGTTTTAAATTGATAAAGGCGAACCTCTTGAGTCCATAATCTTTCATTGCAGCTGCGATGAGCTATGAACTATCATTCAGCGCTTGGAGTTGCTGCAATCTATTCTTCATAAAACTCAGTCCCGGGTGAATGTCTAATTCTCTACCTCTCTTCAATGTTTGACCCATCTTGAAGGGCTATTATCGTATGGCTTTTTTGTCCTTAGCCTCCCCACACACATGCTAAGATATAAATCATTAGGGTCATAATCATTAATATCAATATATTATAATATCGGTTCATATACTCATTCCTCTGTTTGGTATTACAAATTTTTTTCTAAAATATCATTTTAAAAAAATATAAGAGAGTTTGGGTATTTTAACCAGTAATTAATAAGTTTTTTTCAAAAATATCCTTAATTAAAGAGTTTAAGTAGGATCTTCTAATTGAGACATTCTATTAAATAGTAGGGCTAAAAAGACTAAAATGCAAGCAATCGTAACAAAACTATTCTACTTGGACTGGCTAGAATGTCATATAAGAAATTCAAATTATATTACGGTATAATTTATTTTTAGAATATAAAAGAGATATATATATATATATATATATATGCAAATTTAATGAAATATAGAGAATATCTTTTTAATTTATTCAAATTAAAAACGTGATATGCACTAATAATATTCTTTTATTTCTCCAGCTTCAAATTAAATAGCTGCTCAGAATTTTTTTTAAAAAAAAAAATGAACAAGCCCAGAGGACTCTCGCTAGCTGATTTTAATTAAATTAGCGTACTTGCATCTTTCTACACCTCTTTGAGAAGTTTAAGACGTTCAAAGCTCCCATTGCGTTCACATTCATGGCGATGTCAAATCTGCATGACATACATATACATCCATAATGTGATAATAAACTGAAGTTTTTTTATAAATTAATTTGTAATAACTTTAATGTAAATTATCTTCATCATTGATTTGTCATATAAGAAAGGATTATTTCATTTTTTTGTATATAATGCATAATTGTGATGTGAAACAAATAAAAAGTGCGGTGTTTTTTTTTTTTTTTGAGGTAAAAGATCAGGAATAATCACATAATCACGCAGAGAGACCACGTCATCACACACACTCACTCACTCACTCACTCACTCACTCAATTTTCAGGTCAGAGCTAGGTTTCCACTGCTTCATCAAATTCATTGGTGAAGGAAGAAACGGATGAATTTTCAAATGTTTAGGGAAAAATTAACCAAAAATCGCGTTCAGGGCACCCATAGACTTGGCATGAATAATTTGAGTGCAAAAATGACCTTTAACCCTTAAATAAACGTGAAAGATACAATTAAATGTGTTGTTTTCAATGATCATGAATGAAAGTATTAAAATACATTGTACACATTAGTTGTAAGGAGATTTTTGGATGAATGAAATTTTCTACATTCTTTCATTAGTAAATAATAAAATCTTATAATAAATCCATTAATACTAAATTTCCAAATTTCTATTTGCTTCTATCAATACTCATGTCCACATTCGTTGTCACTCACATCATCCCTTGCACATTGCTATTATATATGTTGGTATTGTATCTAAGAAACAAACATAAATTCTATACTGTCACAAATCACATTAACTTCCTACGTTTGAATCTACGAAAAGAGAAAACATGGCAAACGCTCCTTTCAAGTTGGCTTTCATATTTCTTCTCCTTGCTTTCACCACCCATGGTACTTCCTCATCATCTCTATTACTATTTACAAGTTTATATATATGCCCCATAGTAAATATTATTATGCATGTAGTGTTTTATAAAAATAGCAAAAAAAAAGGGGGGGCATGTGTATAAATAAATTACATAGTCCAACATACTCTATCTCGTTATTTAACTTAATTTCTTATCTCTCATTCTTCATACTGTATAGCAAATCCATCAGGAAAATTTTGTGATACCTTTATTTGTAATGGAGCAATTCGTTGCAAAATCAATTTGCAATCTTAATTTCTATCATATGTTTTCAGAAAAAATGTCAATTTTTTTCCAGTTCTTGCTGTAGTTAAAAGCCTAGATAATTAACTTATCATTATTGTGTGCAATGCTAATTAACATTCCTTTTATTTTCGCTGAAACTATATACCAAGCAGGAACTTCATCTGCAAGAGTGACTATAAGTGCAAGTAAGGCACAAGTTATCTGCCAAACAGATGAGGATTGCCCTAGTTGTGGATTTGTAGCTGCTGTGTGTGTGAATCACAACTGTGCTTGTCCTCCTCATCAAACCAAACCAGCATATGTAGACTCACACCATAATATTGTGAACTGAACAATCAAAAGAGAATGACTGTTAAGTCCTAATAACAGAATGAATTAATAACAATTAGGTCTTTAATATAAATTTTTGAAAAATGAATTGCAGATCCAAATAATTATGAATTTAGAAGTTTCAAATATTGCAACTATTTGATTTATATTTACAATATTTTTCAAAAGATTTTATTGAAGACCTAATATTCATTAATTTATTCTTTTAAGACTTTACTTTCATTCTCTCAACAATCAATGCAATATTGTGACGCACACATGTGTATGTTGCCTTATGCATGCTACACATGGCGCTTGGAGGTGTCGGATGTCTCGTTAGTATACTGCAAAAGTAATCTTATATAATTAACTATATAATTAATAAACTCCAAGAAGTTATTGTTATTGAGTTCCGAATATGAATATATATATATATATATATATAGGTGAATGTATTAGCAGGCAACATTATGTAGCAGCTATTATTTTAATTAGATTGGAATTGCAATAACCATAAGTATTTAAAATAAATTTTTTGCTTCAAAATAGCATTTAAAATAAAAGACAGGTTGTCTAATAGGCAAAATTATACTCCATCCGTTTAAAAATATACAATATTTTAACCAAATTATATTATTAATAAATTAGTTATCTTTTTAAATTGATAATATCTTTTCATATTTATCTTATATTTAACAAGGCATCTTATTAAAGGTAAAAGGTTGATGGTAAATTATTTTATCTATGCCACAATTGTCGGTGTGAAAGGTAGAATATTAAATGACAAAAAAAAAATATTAAACAAGGATTCCAACATGTATTCTTAATAAAATCTATCTTGACAAGTTTTATTTTATATTTGGTTTAATTAAATAGAATGTGGGAGATAAATATGAAATTAAATATATGTCGGCAAACTAGTTAAAAGAGTTATATGAAATTAAATACATGATGGCAAACTAGTTAAAAGAGTTAAGTGCACAAGCAAAATTAACTTTAATATGTGAATTTCAGCTCATAATCCTTATGCACATTTTGAAAACTATAGAGACTAATTTTTACAAAAGAATCAAACTAAAAAAACTTAACCGGCTTGGAACAACAAAACAAAACTATAGGAACTAAAACAAAACACAATCAAATTATAGGGACCTCCTATTACATTTTTGCATAACATTAATAAAGCTAAAGTATATCTTTGGTCCTCTAACTTTATATATGGTCTTAGTTTGGTTCATTTATTTTTATAACACTATTATTATTATTTTAAAAAATTAAACTTAATAAACCAATATTTGATAATATTATAATTATAAGTTCAATGTAAGAATTTAACCCATTAATATCAAGATTTTATTATAGAATAAATAATTTATAAAGATTCTTATATATCTTGATTTACTTGGGTGGAAATGACCTTCAAAGTGCATTTGAGAGTTTAGGATTGAATGAAAAGGAATGGAGCAAAATAGAATAATTTTTTTTCATTTTTTTGGAGTTTTATGATAGAAAATGAATGGTTTTACATAACCATTGTTTGGGAGTTATTATAAAATGGATGGAATAAAATGGATTAAAACTTTTTTCTTCCACTATTACCCATATGACCAAATTAAAAGAAAACAATAATGCCCATTAAATAATTATAATAATTGCCAACAAAAAATAATAATAATAATTAAAACCAATGGTCAAACAAGATATTCAAGAATTAAAAATAAAAAGAGAAAGCAAATAACAAAGCTACTCAAGCAATCATACCTACAACACAAAAGGAAAACATATAAAAGTCGTATTGTTGAAACACATGAGAGAGAGATGGCAAGAGTGTTAGAGATATGGCAGGAGGTAGGGTTGTGTACTATGCTCGAATGCTTGATCAACTCAACCTTGCCCAAAGCCTTTAGGCACATTGGGGCTAGTCATCAGCAAGGGTCAAACCCTGCCTTGTCCAAACTTGAGCAAGTTTTTTTTTTGTGAATAATATTTTTTTATGGTAATTTTTTTGTTCACAATTATCATGATTTATATTTTTTTTATAATTTTTTAAACATTTTTTATTATTACAATTTTTTAAATCTCTTTCAAAATTTAAAATTATTTTTAACTTATTATTATGCAAAAAATTGACAATTGTTGTTCATTTGAACTTTTAAGAAATTACTTTTGATTCTAATATTAGTTTTATGAAGAATATATTTTAAATAATAATAATAATATTGTTTAAGAAATTTTTTTATATGTTTTTCAAAAAAAAACTTGTAAAAATATTCTCGAGTCGATCGGGCTAGCCTGATACTCAACTGCATATTGGGCTGAGCACCAAGTAAGGACAATGCTCAACCTGACCCTGCCTATGTGCAGCTCTAGTGAGAAATAAGAGAGATGGCTGGGGAATAAAAATAACATTTGACATTTTTTTTATTAAGATAGGAGACTAGGAGTACTTTTGTAAATAAAATAATTTTTATTATGTTACTCCATCCTTGACCCCTCAATTTGGGAGGAAAAAAAATTGAGCTATAGATGATAAAGGAAGTCTTTAGAGGCCTTTTTTGACATTCCATTCCTCTCTTAAAAAAAAAAAAAACTCACAAACACTAGCTTAAGTCTTTTAGCCATCTCACTCCATTTACATTTCCCTCTAAAAAAATTCCCAAACATAGTGTAAGTATATAATTTTCCCCCCATAAATTAACACTATATGAGAATCTTGATGTGTCTACTTTTTATGCAAGAAGACCCAGTCAAAGGATGGGACTGTGAAAAAATTCAGTTAAATCTCTTATGGATATAGATCAAAGATGAAATCAAGCAAATTAAAAGACAGAATAATATGTATAATTAAAGATATATATATATATATATATATAATCTATGTAATCATCAATCGATTTTTATATATATAAAAAATCTTAGGGATATAGGTACATGAATGCATACGTGGATGCATGCATTGAATGATTTTGTTTCCTCATAATCCATGTTTCAATGGCTAAATCATGTAGAATCTTTGCATTAATATTAAATATCCAAATTTTAATTTCTTTCCCCTTGTGATCATATTCGAAATTCAGACATCTTACAATCGCAAACTCGTGCACTGATACGTGTGTGCGCGTGTGTGTGTTGGAGAAATTAATAAGAAAATCTATATATAGTGTTGAAAATCGAATACCTTTTTTTTTTTTCTGAAACCATAAGAAAACATGGGAAAGGCTTTCTTCAAGTTTGTTTTTCATATTTCTTCTTCTTGCTCTTGCAACCTGCAGTCACGGTAAGTAATTCCTCTCATCTTTATCTCTATTAATTACTAAAAAAATAATTATGTTATTTTCGCGCGCGCGCGTGTGTTTTGTTTTGTTGTTTGTTTGTTTTTTTTTTTGTTGAACTGTGATCTCATTACTAGCTACTTTCAGGCCTAAATACTGGAACGTATAATTGTGTCACTTTCATACAGTTAAATTATAGTTATTTATTTTTTTATTTTTCTTACATCAGTATTAATTGTTTAAATCTTCATGATCACTAACTAGTCCATCGTATACTTTACCACCTAAACCAACCTTATTTAGGTGATAGAAAAGAAAACAAAAATATTTCTTTTGAATTTGATTTTTCTATATCTAGTCTCAACCTCATATTTGTTGTAGAGGTATATATTCAAAAGCCTTTCAAAACTTGCACACAATTTAAAAGCAAATGAATAATGGTAAAATTTATTGTGTTAGATCATTTTGGTTTATCATAATATATTGATGAATAAGTATATGTATGTATGTATGTGGGGTGTATATATTGTTTAATTTATGCATAATCACTCCCTTGTCTCTAATTATAAGTCCTAGTTTTTAGATTTTTTATAAGTCTCCTTATACTAAGCTCTTGGTGATATCTAAAA